GACCCCCGTCCCACGCCCCCCGAGCCCCCTGTCCTGCCGTGCCTTGTCCCCCGAGGCGCCGGTGAGGACGAAGGTGGAGAAGACGGGCAGGGGGTACTTGGTGCCCACGGGCCAGCTCTCGATGGTGGCCCCCATGGGCAGGCAGAACACGGGCACCGACTCGGGCAGCGGGAAGGACTCGCTGTCCTGCTCGGGGTAGCGGCTCAGCAGCCCTGCACGGACACATGGACACACGGACACACGGACACCGGACACCGGGATCAGCCCCCCAGGTCACCTCACCCACTCCAATGAGGAGGGGGCAGCCAGGTGAGTGCCCACAGCTCCACCAAACCAGCCCCCAAAATTTCCCATCAATAGGAAACCCAATTGCCCCCAACCCTCAGGAAGAGACCCCACTGTCACCCCAGTACGGGACCCCACTGTCACCCCAGTACAGGTCCCCACTGTCACCCCAGTACAGGTCCCCATTGTCACCCCAGTAAGGGACCCCACTGTCACCCCAGTACAGGACCCCATTGTCACCCCAGTAAGGGACCCCACTGTCCCACCTCCCCAGTAAGTGACTCCAGTCCCAAAAGCCCGTCAAGGCCCCCCGAAGGGGTGCTGGGGCAGCTGAAGGGCCCCCCTTGCGCTCCCCAAACCCCCCTGAGGACACCCAAGGGCTCCTGCACCTCCCCCAAATCAGCCCCGTGCCAGCTGGAGGAGGTTAATCAACACAGAAAATATTTTTTAAAATAACAACAACAATAAACAACTCGGGCTCCCCCTGGGAGGACCCAGAGCCTCCATCCCGAGCTCCCCACCTGCCTCGTAGACCAGCGTGTTGTCCTTGGCCACGGCGATCTTGTAGCACAGGAACAACGCGGGGCCCCACTGCAAGGAGGGATGGGGGTTCTGGGGGTCAGCAGGGGCTGAGCACCACCGGGGGGACGAGAGGGACCTAACCCTAACCCAAACCCACCATGCTGGTGTTGAGGTTCTTGTCCACGCGGCAGAAGGTGTGGGGCGTGCTCTCGCCCTTGCTGGGCATCACCAGGCAGATGTCGGTGACCCCCAGCGTGTGGTGGCCGGGGGGCTCGGCCGCGCGCCGGAACGTCAGGAACGTGCGCTGGTGGCCCGGCGACCCCGAGGCCAGGTTGGCCGAGCGGCTGTAGGGGGTCGTGTCCAGGATCTGGTAGCCCGGCTTCGGGCGGTCCTTGCCCTCATAGTGCACCCTGAGAGCGGAGAGGGGTGAGGGGAACCCCGGGAGCCGCCAGCCGCACCCCCGGGCTCTCTCCCGGCTTCTCCCAAACTCTTCCCCCAGCCCGGGGCGCCCCACGGGGCTGCCGCGACCCCGGGCAGGACTCGGGTCCGTCCCCACTCACCCCAGCTCGATCAGGGGGGGTTTGTCCCTCCCGCGCTTGTAGCACAGGAACATCTGCGGGTTGTTGAGCAGCCCCGCGTTGAGGTCCACGGGGTGGCCCGACGTGCTGGTCTCGATGCAGGTGAAGCCCTGGGGCACCTCCTCGCCCTGCGAGCGGATGATCACGGCCACGTCCGTGATGGGCTCCCCGGGCCGCGCCGGCCGCGGCTGCTGCTCCTCCTCCAGCGCCCGCGACGCCTCCGCCAGCCCGGCCACCACGAAGTAATCCACGAGCTGCGGCGGCTTCTCGTCCGACATGGCTGTCACAGCATCTGCGGGGACACGGGCCGTGCCAGTCCTGCCGTGCCAGTCCTGCCGTGCCAGTCCTGCCGTGCCAGTCCTGCCATGCCGGCCCCACCGTGCCAACCCCGCCGTGCCAGTCCTGCCGTGCCAGTCCCGTGCCAGCCCCGCCGTGCCAGTCCTGCCGTGCCAGCCCTGCCGTGCCAGTCCCGTGCCAGCCCCGCCGTGCCGGCCCCACCGTGCCAGTCCCGCCGTGCCAGCCCCGCCGTGCCAGCCCCGCCGTGCCGGCCCCGCCGTGCCGCCCCGCCGTGCCGGCCCCGCCGTGCCGCCCCGCCGTGCCAGCCCTGCCGTGCCAGCCCTGCCGTGCCAGTCCTGCCGTGCCAGCCCCGCCGTGCCGGCCCCGCCGTGCCAGCCCTACCATGCCAGTCCTGCCGTGCCAGCCCCGCCGTACCGGTCCCGCCGTGCCAGCCCCGCTGTGCCAGCCCTGCCGTGCCAGCCCTACCGTGCCGGCCCCACCGTGCCAACCCCGCCGTGCCAGTCCTGCCGTGCCAGCCCCGCCGTGCCAGTCCTGCCGTGCCGGCCCCGCCGTGCCAGCCCCGCCGTGCCAGTCCCGTGCCAGCCCCGCCGTGCCAGTCCTGCCGTGCCAGCCCCGCCGTGCCGGCCCTGCCGTGCCAACCCCGCCGTGCCAGTCCCGCCGTGCCAGCCCCGCCGTGCCAGCCCCGCCGTGCCAGCCCCGCCGTGCCAGTCCCGTGCCAGCCCCGCCGTGCCAGCCCCGCCGGGGCACCGGCCGGGGCACACGGGACCCCCGGACCTTCCGGCCGCCCCCTCCCCAGCACGGGCAGGGTCCCCGGCAGTGCTCGGAGGAAGGACCCCCACCCTGCGGCCCCGCTGCCTCGGTGCCCGGCTCCGTTCCTGCCCCTGTCCCCCGCCGTGCCCCGGTCCCGCGGGCGCTCCCCGGAGCGGCGGCGGCGAACGGG